TGAAGGTGATGGGGCACATTGTTGACATCAACTGTAAAAGGATTGGCAAAGATGTCAAAGCCTGAGTGCTGTGTTCTAAAGTCAGAGAAGCGCCGCTCAAATTCACTTAGTAAACGGCCAACTTTGGTAGCCAGCCGACTGCAAGGAAAAGTACCAGAAATAGTGGTTGAGATACTCAAACAAACGGGAAAGTGGGCAAGATTGTCCTGTTCCAGTTGGGACTTCCATAGTTGAAGTTTACGCTGGAATGCTGTGATCATGTCAGACATCTTTGTGATGACTTGTTTGCGTCCCTGCAGCTTCAGATTCAGTTGGGCGAGATGCTCGCATATGTCACACATCATAGCAAAATCACATAGCCAGGCGGGATCCGACAGTTCAGGCAAGGGCTTTCCTTTACTTTCCATGAAAAGAGCAATTTGTTCTCTGAGCTCAAAAAATCTTTTGAGGACTGCGCTCTTGCTCAGCCATCTTACTTCTGTGTGGTATGGCACGTCTCCATGCTCTGCACCCACCTCCTGTAAAAATTGCTGGAACTGGCGATGATTCAGGCCATGTGCCCGTATAAAGTTAATAGTTTTCATGACTGTGGTCATTATGTCATTCATGTCCAGAACTTTTCCACACATAGCCTCTTGGTGGATAATGCAATGATAAGTAATCAAGGGTGTGTGGCAGTGACTTTTTTGCATTCTTTCCTTCATTAGTCCAACCAAGCCTTTCTTTTCTCCGCACATTGAAGGTGCGCCTTCGGTAGTTAGCCCCACCAACTTTTCCCAGGGTAATTTAAAATTATTTATAGATTTCTCCACAGCCTCAAATATATCTCTACCAGTCGTCGTCCCATGCATGGCAGCTACTTCCAAAAGTTCCTCAGTGACAGAGAGGTCGGTCTTCGTAGCACGTATAAAGATGGACAGCTGCACTGTATCAGTGTTGTCTGTGCTTTCATCGATAGCAAGTGAAAAAGCGAGATAACTGCATGCCTGTTCGGCCAGCTGTGATGATAGATTTCCTGAGAGTTCCTGAACTCTATCTGCAATGGTGTTTCTTGACAAACTGACATTTTGAAAACTCTGTATCTGGTCTGGGCATACTTGCTCACACACTTTTAGCATGCATTGCTTCAAAAAGGCACCCTCTGAAAAACACCTTGAAGTACAGGCAATTTCTCCAGCCACTATAAAGCTTGCTTTCACTGCAGCATCATTTTTCGTTGTAGCCTTTGTAAACATTTGCTGCTGTGATTGTAGTTTGCCTTTTAGTTCTTCAACAATTTTATGCTTTTCTTCCAAAGTATATTTGCCATGCTTAACATTATGTTTGGTGTCAAAATGACGACGTATATTGTACTCTTTCATCACCGACACTGTCTCATAACACAATATACACACTGGTTTGCCCTCTCTAAGCACAAACATGTATTCATTTTCCCATTTGTCATTAAATTGTCTGCCTTCACCGTCAACTTTTCTTTTCCTGGACATTTTGGGATCAATATTGGCAGTAAAAGATGTAGTTTATTGGAAATCTGCGTTAGAAGGAAAAAGTTGAAAACTGCACAGGGATAGCTTGATTTGGCAGATGGAGTGGAGAAAAAAAAAGTCAGTCAATAAATGCCTGGCTGGGTACAGATAGCAGATTCTGTTGCGATTTTTATGCCTGCACTTTATGCCAGGAACTGGCAGCTTCTGCTGTGTATTTTTTATGCCCGCACACTCACTCTCTCCTCTGCTCTGCCACCCGCACAACCACATCAGATGCCGGACTATAGGTCACGCCTCCTGAATCTCCGTGACTTGTTATCTATGCGCATGCGTAATAGATAGCAAGTACAGCGGCCGGCGAGGCGGCCGGCGAGATCACAAGCCTCCTATGTCACCACGCGTCATTGTGATGGAACGCAGCGGAGTGCAGTGATGACAGTGCGGTGCGGGCCACATTGCAAGGCCTGGCGGGCCGGATTTGGCCCGCGGGCCTTGTGTTTGACATGTGTGTCCTATGTTAACTTCCTTCCCTTTTGCCGGCATTTTGTTCCTGTCAATCACTGCACTGAAAAGTAGCAAATTAGGCCAAGACGTCAGATCATCTGGAAGGTGAACCAGCGGACCTGCCCCACCTTCCTGTGACCCAGTGTGGGCCAACCTGCAGCTCAGCACCCACCAGCCGCCCTCAGTGTCATGCTCCCTAAGCGCACATTCTGGTGTTTGTGCCGGGGTGTGGTCCACAGCCAGGCCATTCCCCTCAGATTCCCCGAGACCCTGGGTACTCTAGGCAGTGCTGCTGGCCTGGCCTTAGACATGCCCAGGTGGCAGTGCATGTGTGTATGCCTATGGGCACACGTGTGCAATGTGTGTGCTGTGCACACATGCACGCACGTGCACTGTTTGATTTTATAGTTGCATGCACTCCCATGTGCATGTGTGCTCTTCTGTGCATACACACACATGGGGGCTCATGAGGATACCCACGTGTGCTTGGGTGTATGTACTGTGTGTGCATATTGGAGTGTGCTGGGTCGTGGCACTAAATAAAATATTTAATCACCAGCAGCTCGATCTCCACCACAAACACCATGTGACTGGTTTTTAACGTAATGGGTTGTTTGATTGCATCCCAGTCAGAACACCAGTTGTGTGGCTCAGACTCATGCCGCAGGGCACAGCTGCTCTGAGAAGGGACACGTGGAAGCCCAAGGCCTGAGGCGCCTGTCTGCAGCGAGCCTGCTGGCATAGTAACCACATCACGTGTGATCTTAACTGTCCTCTTAAAAAAGCAGCATTTAGCCCTGGCAGGTTTGGCTTTGCGGATAGAGCGTCAGCCTGCAGTCCAAAGGGTCCCGGTCCGATTCTGGTCAAGGGCACATGCCTGGTGGCAGGCTCCTCCCTGTGCAGGCCCTGCTGGGGCACCTGCGGGAGGCAGCCAGTGGATGTGTTTCTCTCACATCCATGTTCCTGTCTTTTCCTCTCTTTTCCACTCTCTCTAAAAATCCATGGAAAAGTATCCTTTGATGAGTATTCACAAAAACAAAAACTAGCAAAAAAATAAAACCACCACCTATGCTCTCAGCATCACGCCATGTAACAACACTCTAAGATATGTTTAATCTTGCTTCGCTGTGACCTGCATTCCTGGGGTGGCCTCCAGGGCCACGAGAAAACCGCTCCTAGGACGGCCCCAGAACCACCCTGTCTCCCAGTCACTTCTTCACAACGGACACTTCAAAAGCAGGAAGTGTGGACAGTGTGAGGGGAGGGGTGCAGCTATGGGGCGTAGCCGTGGGGAGGGGCGTGGGCGTCGGGGCATCAAGCCCACACCAGGAAGCTGATCCCGAGTACAGGAAACTCAGAGCTTCCGGACCACGCTTGTTCCCCGAGGTTGGTCTTAGATCTTCGGCTGAGGGGTATTTGGAGTTTCATTTCCTGTATAAACTTTAAAAAATAAAGCCTGTGTCGCACGTCTTGAGTGGGGCTAAGAGTATCCATGAAGTTAGGAACATCTGCAACTTTAAAAATGTCACCTGGTGTTTGTTGCCTTGAAGTTCACTTCTATGTGACCCAGACGCTCCCTGCTGCCCAGCCAGACGCCCACAGGAGGGCGCTGCTGGGCCTGGGCCTGGGCCAGTGCTGCCTCTGTTCCATCTCCAGAAAGTCTGGAACCTCAGGGAGGCCCCTGGTGTTGACATATAAGGCACCCAACAGGTAAATCACACCCATCGAGTAAAATGAGGGCCTGAGGTCTGCCGTCCTAGGCCACATCAGCCGGACCACCTTGCTCTGCAGCTCTGAGCTGTCCCTGAAGCCGTGGCACCCGGGGGCTTGGAATGGGGCACAGGCGCAGCCCGACTCAGGAAGTGGGAACTGCTGGCAGGGCCTGGTTGGCCAGACTTGGGCAGACAGGAAGTGTGTCGAAGTCGCTTTTGCTGCCTTGGGTTGATGGCCGGGGGCTGCTGGTGTGGGGACCGAGAGGGGCCATGCCCTCAGCCTGGCTGTACCCAGAGGCCCATTTGGACACGTGTCTGAAGAAGCCTCTGGGTGAGAGCCGAGGACCCGGATGTGGATGACTCTCATTTTCAGAGGACGTCGGCTCGTTGTCTCTCTGACCGGGTAAGTTTTAGTCCCCGAGGTCGGGTTGATGGGCCATCTCGCCGGATGGTGAGGGGCCTCCACACCTCCCTGCCAGCGTCCGCTGCAGCTGGGCAGCCCGGCCAGGCAGGGGCCTGGGTGGGCAGGATCCAGGGGATCTGGGCTTAGGGTGGGGCACCGGGTAGCTGAGGAGAGGTCTCACCCTGTGCTGGGAAGCACCTCCATTCCCAAACCTGGGCACTTTTCCACAATGAGGTGGATCCCAGACGTCAGTACGGGGCATGCTGCTTTCCCCTTTCTCTGGCAGAGGTGACCTTCACCCTGGGGTGCCCCCACCTCATTTGGCAGGAGGTCAAACCCTTTGGTAAGAGTGGGGCTCTCCTTCAGGGCCAGCGCACACCCGCCTGACACCTCAGCTCCGGCCCGGCTTACCTTTTCCCTGAACCCTGAGCCGACTGGCTCCCGGCCAGCCCACTGGGCGGGGGTCACGCCCCGCCCCGCCCCGCCCCGCCGCGCAGCGCCGCGTGGAACGCGTTTCACACCATGTGTGCCAACAGACCTCCTAACGATTTACACCTGTGACCTTCACATCACCGCGGAGGGTACATTTAAGTGGAAGGGTATAATGACCAAATTCACCCATAGGAAAATAGCCTTTGCCAGAGAAGCTAGGCCTGTGGTTTTCCCTAAATAGGGTTGGAAATTCATATGCATTTATCATAAATAAGCTCGACTTTGCAGCAGAAACCTCATCACCAGTTTCCAAGAAGAGAAATGTTTGGGGCCCCGGGCCCACATGGAACGCTCGCTCCAGAAGGAGGCTGGGTGAGTCCACCCGAGAGCTGCGGGATTTACCTCTGGCAAGCTCAGCCATTCTACCCCCCCCCCCCCCCAATCTGTGCATAGACATCTAACTCCAACGACATAGCAATTCATTTAATAAAGGAACTCGCCAATTTCAAATTGCAATAAATGTACCAAACATTGTCACCATTTCTGGAGCTTTACAGTAAGAAAGTTTTGACAAAAGCAGGCACATCCGTGTACAAAGTGTTGCCGGCGGTGCATCCCGTCGTCTTTCGTTCCGGAAGTGTCCGTGTCCTCCTCACGGAGCGCGCGCCGGGCCTGGGGCCGCGCCCCAGCAAGGGACTGGCCAAGAGAAGTGCGGCGGGGCGAGCGCACCCCAAACACTGTTGTAAACTTTAAATGGAATCCGGTACGAACAGACCCGGGCCAGAAGAGAAATCTCCCAGACACAGACACGTAACTCTCGGGGCCAGTCTCGTGGCGCGGGCGGGGAGACTCGGAGGGCGGCCCCGCAGCCGGCCCGGCTCGGCCCCCGCCGGCCCCGCGACCCTCGCGTGTCCGTCCGTCCATCCGCGTCCGGGCTCAGCAGGCGCGGCTCGGCTCCCAGGGGCGCGCCGCCTCGCGGGGCGGCCGGCAGCAGTAGGGGTAGGAGGCGTCGAGGTCCGGGTCCGAGGGCGCGTAGCCAGGCAGCTCCACGGACGGGTGCCCGCCGCAGCACACCTCCACGCCCGCCTCGTCCGACGCGCGGATGACTCCCAAGTGGATGTAGGAGACGGCGTGGCGCGCCGCGAAGCCCGCGCAGTCCCCGGGCGCGGCCGCGTCCGCGTCCGCGTCCTCCGGGGCCAGGATGGAAGCCTCGCTCGGGCGATGCTGCTGCAGCCGCCGGACGCGCCGGGCCCTCCGCGCCCAGGGAGGGGGCGGCTGTGCACGGAGCCCCGAGCCGCCGCGGGGCCGCGCCCGCACCCGGCCTCCCCGCCGCCCGCGCCGGGCCCGCGCCGCCCGGCAGGCCTTGGCCAGCAGCAGGCTGAGCAGGCCCAGCAGGCACTCGAGCGCGTTGAAGACGGTGGAGAGCACCAGGCCGCGCTGGTAGTCCTTGAGCTGCCGGCACTTGGCGGGCGTGGCGCGGGCGCGTGGCGCGCCGGGGGCCGGGCCGGGCGCGGGGCCGGGGGCCGGGGCCGGGGCCGGGGCCGGGGCCGGGCCGGCGGGGCGCGCGCGGGGGCAGGCAGTAGTGGGAGTACTTGCGCTCCACGAGGGACACGGCGTCGCCGTCGATCACGGCGCCCGCGAAGGCGCTCAGGACCCCGAGCATGAAGACCAGGGCGCCGAGCAGGAGCAGGTTCTGGCCGGTGCCCGGGCCCTCGGGCTCGGCGGCGGCGCCCGGCGCGGCCTCCGGAGCGCCTGCCGTGCGGGCGGGCGCCCCGAGCCCCGGGCCCGGCCCCGCGGGAGGCGCGGCGCGCGGCCCGCAGCAGAGCCGGGCGGCGCCGAGCAGCGAGAGGCCGGCGGCCAGCAGCAGCCCCGAGTAGAAGGCGCCGGCGGCCGCGCCGAGGCGGAACGGCTCCCCGCGGAGCTCCGAGCCCAGCGCGAAGCACTGGAGGCCGACGGCGGCGGCGCTGAGCGCGCAGGCGAGCAGGAGGCAGGCGGCGAGCGCGGCGCAGGCCCCGCGGACGCTCCACTTCATCCTCCGCGCCCGGCCCGGCCCGCGCCCCGCGCGCCCGCCGCCGCCCGCCGCCGCCCCCGCCGCCTGCGCCTCCTCCCGGCGCCGCGCGGCCGGACCGCCGGCCTCCGCCTCATCCTCCCGCGTCCTCCCGGGCCCGCGCCGCCGCCGCCGCCGCCGGAGCCCGCATCCTCTGCCTCCCGTCGCCGCCGCCGCCGCCCCGCGCCGGGAACCCGGGCGGCGCGGAGACCCGCCGGGAGCGCGCCCCCTCCCCGGCCCGCGGCGCCCCGCCCAGGGCGCCGCGCTCCCCGCGCCCCCGGCTCCCGCCGCCCCGGGGACGCCCCTCGGCCGGCTCCCAGAGCAGAGGGGCCCCCACGCGTCTCCCCCCGTCCCTCCGGGTGTGGGCGCCCTCGGCCGCTGGGGCAGGGCCACCCTCCAGCCCCGGGCTCTCCGGGAGCCCCAGGCCCCACCCCCGCCTCTCCCGCCTCCCGAGCTGCTGCGGCTGCGCTCCTGGCGGCGGGGCTCCGGCTCTCCGCGGCCCCCGGCGCGCGGCGCCAGGACCCGGGAGGCCGGCGGGGGCGGCGGCTCGGGGCGGGGGCCGAGTGCGGGAGGGAGGGGCGGGTCTGGCGGAGGGAGGGGCCGGTGCCAGGGGGACTAGCGGGAGTCCGGGGGCGGGGGCCGGATGGGGGGCGGCTGGCGTGCGGGGGATGAAGGGGCGAGTGGAGGCGAAGCCCCAGGCAGAGCCTCGGGGAGCCCGGACGCAGGGACTGTGCGTTAATTCATCGGAAGGCGGCTCCGGGCTGGAGGGACGAGGTGCAGGTGCCCGCGGGGGAGAGGAGGGGCGGGCGCGGGGTCCCGGGCCCTCAGGGCGCCCCAGGCTCTTCCTGAAAGCGGTCAGGGGTGCAGCCTCCCCGGCTCCGGAGGGACCGCGGGCGGCAGCGGGCCTGCGAGGCCCCCGCTGCAGCCGGAGGCCGGGAGCCGTGACTCACCGCGGGCTGAGCGCGGTCCGGGGGGCGGGAGCTGCGGGAGGGGGTGCGGGGCGCTCCGAGCGCTCGCCGCCGTCCGCTCCCACGCGCAGGGCTGCCGCGGGGACCCTCCGTGCGGGGCGTCCGCGGCGCCGGGAGCCCGGCCGCGCCCACCTCCCCCGACACCATCGCGCCGGGGCCGGTTCGCCGGGTTGGCAGCGGGGCCTGCGGGGCGTGGAGCGCGCCCGCGGGGGGACTTGCCGGGCCGGGCCGGGCTCTGAGCCCCGCGCCGAAGGTGGGGGATGAAGGCCGGGGTGAGGCGTGCGCCACGCGCGGGTGGAGCTTCCGGGAGCCGGCTCCCGGGACTGCTTGGTTTCCAGGGCGACCGGGTTCTCCGCCGGCGCCGCGGAGCGGAGGAAGCAGCCGTTCCTCCCGGGCTGCGGATCCGCTCGCTCCGGGCGCAGGGACACTGGGCAGGGCTGCAGCCGTTCTCCGGGTCCGGCCTCTCTCTGCCAGTGCCCGCCCCACCCTCCCCTGGACACTGTCCCCGACCGCCGCCCCCCTGGTCCGCCGCCCGTGCTGTTCTGTCTGCAGCCGCTCCGTCGCCCCACCCTCACCCGTGCCCGCCTTTCGCGTGTGAGATCTCGGCTTGAGCTCCCCAGAGTGACTAGGTACCGACTGTAGTCAGGGGCCTGAGTCCTGACCAATGGGTGCTTTGCGTGGCTTTCTTTTCTTTTTTTAGGTACACTCTTTTGAAAAAATATTTTTTATTGATTTCAGAGAAAAAGGGAGACGGGGAGAGAGAGAGGGAGAAAGGGAGGGAGAGGGAGGAAGGGAGGGAGAGGGAGGAAGGGAGGGAGAGGGAGGAAGGGAGGGAGAAAGAGAAACAGAGAGAGAGAATATCATTGACCAGCTGCCTCCTGCACTTCTCCTGGGGATCACACCTTGACCTCTTGCTTCGTGGTCAGAGCTCAATCCCTGAGCCCCACCAGCCGGGCAAGACTTTGTTATTGCTGTATCTGCTGTGCTTCCTTTTCAGACTGTTCCTGTGAGTCACCCTCCCCGAGTGTCCATGCTAGACCGCCTGCACTCCTGAGCTAAGTCCCACTTGGTCCTGTCAGGCCAGCAGCCCCTGTTGCCTTTCACCAGGAAGAGGACAATACTTCTCCCACAGGAACGCAGGGCAGGGCCAAGCCTTACCCCCGCCGAGGAGGGACAGCCGTCCCCAGATCTGCTCCCCCAAAGCCAGGAGGCCCCCGGCAGCTGACTCCTGCCTCGGCAGACGTGCACCCTCCTGTACTGCAGCGGCAGCCCCCACCCCCGCCAGCACAGACCCCGGGGCTGGCCCGGTGCCCTGGGGCACACGCTGATGCAGGACGTCCTGCCCATTGAGCTGGAAGAGGCGAGACATTCCCACACGGGGATGAGCCCAGCACAGCGTCCGCCCGGCAGGAAGGGCTCCGCCCAAGGCCCATTGCTGCTCTGATGCGTAGGGGCATTGTCCCAGTTAAGCCCCAATTAATTGATTATCTGTCTAGACTCAGTGGGACAAGCGCAGGTGACCAGCAGTCATCGATCACGGCCTAACCCCTAGTGCTTCAGTGTCTAGACAGCTGAGCCGAACTGGAACACATGACACACAGACAGTTAGTATACAACCACACACACTGATTCCTAGTGGGTCCCGGGCTCCGGCAAAGGCCACCCGGTGCACACGGAAGGACGGCCGATGAAAACAGACAGGCAGGCGCCACAGGTGGTTCAGGCTCACACAGCAGCAGTCAGGGGCTTGTCTCTCGGAGCAACGTGGACTCCTCCTCTCCTCGGGCAGGAGGCCACAACCGAAGACAGTCCCAGGTTATACAGACCGCGGTCACCAGCTGTGTCCTTATCAGTGTGGGCCAGACGGTGTACCTCACGCTGGGAGCAGGGTGTTTACACTTGAAGGGCACAGAGCTTTTAAAAAAAAAAAAAATAATATATATATATATATATATATATATATATACACACACACACACACACACACACATTTTTTTAATATATTTTATTGATTTTTATTTATTTATTTTTTACAGAGGAAGAGTGAGGGATAGTTAGAAACATCGATGAGAGAGAACCATCAATCATCAATGCCTTTTGCACACCCCCTACTGGGGATGTGCCCACAACCAAGGTACATGCCCTTGACCGGAATTGAACCCGGGACCCTTCAGTCCACAGGCCGATGCTCTATCCACTGAGCCAAGCCGGTTTCAGCGTGGACGCAGAGCTTTTACATCAAGATAGTGGGGTGCTCGTTAATTTTGGAAGTCACAGAGTATTGGGGTTTCCTTACAGCAAACATTTCACACAGCAGTTATTTCGTACATTAGAGTGTCCTTATGACCATCACATTCTTATAACAGGCGGTAAGACTGATGGGGGCGGGAAGACGGCGAGACCTCCTGTCCGGCCCTCTCCACCGGGAGCCTCGGGCACGCTGCTCTCCCCCACAGACCTCGGCTCTGTGTCAGGGAGAGGTGTCGCTGGCAGCAGGCTCTGCTTATGCTGTCGCCATCTCATTTCAGAGTCTGGGGTGCTGACAGTGCACAATGAGTGGGGAAGGGCTCCCTCGTTTTTAAAATTATAAATGTTTTTATTGATGGCAGAGAGGAAGGGAGAGGCAGAGGGAGGCCCCTCCTGTTCCCTGTGAGTGCCTGTGGAGCTGGCCTTTCCTCCCTAAGGATCTGGCAGAGTTCAGCTGTGACACTGTCTGGGGCTGAAGTTTTCTTCATGGGATGATTTTAACAAACTTAACTTTAAAAACATGTATAGGGATATATATTTATTTTCTGGAAGGAGCGTTAGTATTCTTTGAGGAATTTCTCCATCACAGTTTTTAGATTTGCTGGCATAGCGTCTACACTATTCCTCTATAAGATGCCACTGTTATCGTATGAAAAATATACCTCCATAAAACTGAAAGAATAAAATGTCTTTAATGTTTTTATCCTTTTATGTCTCTAGGGTCTGTGGTGAAGTTCCCTCTTTCATTTTTGACATTGGTAATTTGTGTGGTGTTTCTGATTTTTGTTTTAATCCTCACTGGAGAATATTGCTTCCACTGATTTCTAGAGGGAGTGGGGGGGAGGGAGGAGGAGGAGAGAAAAACATCAGTGTGTGAGGGACAAACGGATTGGTTGCCTGCACCCCTCCTGGGGTTGGGGCCTCTGCACCCACAGTGTGTGCCCTGGGCGGGAGTCAAACCTATGACCCTTTGGTTCACCAGACACTTCTCTAACCACTGACTGGCCAGGTCTGTGAGGTGCGCTTTTTAAAAACCAGTTTGGCTGCAGGTTAATATTCTTGATCATTAAAAATAGTGTTTAGCCGAGACGGGTTTGGCTCGGTGGATAGAGCGTCAGTCTGCAGACTGGGGGGGTCCCAGGTTCGATTCCGGTCAGGAGCATGTGCCTTGGTTGCTGGCTCATCCCCAGTGGGGGGTGTGCAGGAGGCAGCTGGTCGATGTTTCTCTCTCATCAATGTATCTAGCTCTCTATCCCACTCCCTTCCTCTCTGTAAAAAATCAATAAAATATATATTTTTTAAAATAGTGTTTAGTTTGATCGTTTTCATTTTTTGTTTTCTATCTCCCTGACGTCCACTCTTCTTTACTACTCCCTTTTTCTCTGCTCGCTTTGGCTTTAGTTTGCTCTTTTTCTAGTTCTGGTTCGAGACATTTCTTTTTATGTAATCATTTAATGCTATAAACATTGCTTAGTGGCTTAAAATAGCAATGAGCAAATTAAACCCCTTGGTTTGAACTTGAATTCATCGAAGAAAAATTCACTTTTTACGCTCCCCTGCCACAGCCTGTGCAGCGGGTCCCGGTGACCTGTGTGGGGGCTGACACACGAAGAGACGCCATGCAGGGAAAACGAATCTTAAAGGCCCGGGAGCAGGCGGGACCTCTGAGAAGAGGAACACCCAGTCCGGGTCCTGCTGCTTTCCCTCAGTTTTGTCACATGTTTGCCCTTTAGCACACCACGCAGGCAGAGCAGGTGGGGTCAAAGATCAGTAAAGTTCAGTAAACGGTATAAAGATGATCGGTCAGGAAGCCACCCAAGCTGTCGCCCTCACAGCAGTAGCCATCGTGTGCTGGCCACCGCCCTGCCACCTGCCCAAGGCTGCTGTTTCACTTCCCTGCCAATGCTGTTAGGCACTGGTCTCTGGCCACATGGTCTGTGCTGCACCGGCTCAGCTACAGCAGCTTCTCCCGACCTCTGGGCCGGGTGAGAGGACGCACTTCCTTTTGTTTA